TTCTACTATGGCAGGAACGCCAGATGCAGATGTCTATTTTTACTTGTTTTTAGATTTCTTTGCTTACAGCATCCACACATTTACGCCTAAATTCTACTCAGCCACACAACATTATGATACAGATTATGCTATAACTCTAACTGTAATATACCAGTTTGTAGTTTTTTATCGTATTCTAAAGCAGTGTGTAATTACATGCGAAGCAACACTCACTGGTACTCTTCCGTACTAGCAGAGTCAGCGGACACATTGGCAGCATTCTGAACCAGTGATATAGATCCATTCATACTTCTGCTCCTTCGAGGACCAGCTGAAACACAAGAAGAAATGATCGACGTAGGTAAACACTCTATAGATGGCAGTACTATCAGCTCAGACAGTCCTGACATGTAAACAATGTGTTTATGGGTACAATTAGCAGGAGTTTTGCTCTATTGTCCAAAGTCAGCAAACGATATTTGCAGTATAACGAGATTATTACTATTCTCTACTCATCTATTATTATTATTATTATTATTATTATTAACAGGTGAGCATAGTCGTGGTAATTTCGACTTACTGGGTCTTATGCGCATCGAATCTCGGACTCCTGGATCATGATTGACAGTAGAGTGCAGATCAGTGCCAGTGACAGTCACAGGGTAACATATCTGATCCTGATGCCCTCTCGGTGCAATATCCCTCTTATTCAGTATCACCGCGTCACCTGCCACCAACAGAAACTACGTAAACTTAATGTTGCCAAAACCAACAGCCAAAATAAACTTTTTATTATCATTCTCTGGTGTATGTTAGTTGAATCGTCTTCAATCATTAAATATTTTAATATTCTTACGTGCCTACATTATATTATAACATGACACTGTTCCATCACTAACATCAACCTCTGTTGAATCTACCCTGCAGGAATTTTACACGGTGACACGTAGTGATGTCCCGATGATCGATTCTAATCGAAAGTCAGTCGTTTGCAGCAACCAACTAAGCGCTCGACTATGAAAATAAATAATCGATTATCTTTGGTCATCGATCGGTTGAGTGCAACCGATGATCGATGATGAAATTCCAACCGACTCCCATCACTACGCATAGCTTTTACCTAAGCTGGACAATGGCGTGCCTCCGCGATTCTGCCACGAGCAACCGCGGCTGGACTCCGACGTACCCAACCCACTGTCGACCTCAGCGCGGGTGCAGCACGCCCCCTGGTGAGCATGGCCACTTGACCCGGCAGGGGAGAGGGTCGACTCGGAGTCGCTGTTTAACACATTCTGAAATGCAGACGTCAGACAATGCTGTTTTACATGACGATTACAGATCGCCACGTGACGTGAACGATGGGGAGAGGGGGGGGGGTCACGTCTATGTTAGGTGACCTATTACAGAGAGTTGCGGCCATGGCGAGCTCGGAGAAAATCGTCACAGTGGTCGTGGGGACGGCATGTATGTTTCCAAATGGATACGCACGGCTATGGAGCCGTAAGAAAGTGTACTATTAAATATTCATATGGCGCGAACGATTTGCAGTTAACAATTTCTAGGAAATCTAGATACAGCCATACTACACACCGCGGCACGCTCCGTGTCTTAGGCTATCGAATCTCTGTAAATTTTGAGTTTAATTGAAGCACGATTATGATCTAATTAAGTACTAACCGGGGACGCATTGTACAGGCGTATCCATAACAGCGCTGTACTTAAGCGGCCAGCGGTGATCGATCCATATTGGATAACAAAAGTGCGTCAAATCGCTGAGTTGGTGCAACTCTCTGTATACCAGAGACCGACTAGTCTAGGTGAGCAGACACCGAATACACGGTTGATGCTATCGCTATTCACCTATAAACAGTGATTGACCTATCGACCCGCGACGTGACTCACCGCATGGCTGTCTAACTGAAACGAGCATCCGCGAAGACAAGAAGAATGTTCTCGGAAACAATGCTTGCAACGACGTGGCAACTTGGTGGCCCGGGGGCGAGCAGCATTACCTGCTGGTTTTCCACACTGCTCTGCAAGGTACGGTGCGTCACTGGACAGGTCTCGCCTGCGTCCCGCGGCGACCGAGGATGCCTACGCCGAACCCGGCCGCGGCCGTCAGTCCCGCGAATCGCAGCGGCGGCAACAAGATTGGGCACCGGCTACCCGCCGACGCGTCCGCCCCCGAAACGATCCACCGCCTCTCCGGACCCCCAACGCCGGCAGCACCGACCGCTCGTTGGCTGCACTCTGGCAGAGTAGCTGTGCAATGCCGTGGATCGGCCTCGCCCATTGCTAGTGATGAGCTGACGGTGCGGTGAGTGCTGGATTGCATGACTGTGACCAGTACGGCGGCCATCCTTGTAGTGGGTCGATGAATACAACACTCACGGCGGCCGGTAGGTGTACCGTCGTCTGCGCCAGACCCGTGGGGGCGCCACCACGCACGCCCTCTGCCCTGTGATTGGCTGGGGCGAATCCTGGGTTTGGCAACGACATCTGTCGGGCCAGTGCTGCATCTTTAATCGTGAAAGCTTGTGAGGGGCAGCGCCTGCTCAACTTCTGTTAAGGTTGATAGGCTCGGTGACGAGACTATCGTCAGTGTCTAACGTCACACCTGTAAAGTGATTCACCAGTAGCTGCATCACCATATCATTATTATCAGCTAATATCAAAAGTTGGATCAAATATACTATTGCACCCTATTATATTCCGATCATTAATCAGCTCACAAGTTAACGAGTCATGCACACAAACAACCTTCTCGGTCTACGCTAATAGACTATCTATCAAGTTTATGTGTCAATATCGGGCGACTAACGCAGCAAAGATGTGCTGCTATTTACAGCCTCGTAAAAAAGAAAATCACAAGTATAGGATACGCGCAAATTATTACTCAAAAGATAAGTGAAATTGATATAGATTTGGGCATGAAACCAACATATTTTGTGTCAACATATTTTTAGCAGGGACATTTCTGCTTGTCATGCTAATTGATGTGCATTATTGGGGAGTAAGAGCCTAATAGTACCGCTCCATGGCTGTGTAGTCTTTTATCTACACTCTTGATGCTATGTAGTCTCAGCCCTGTGGCGCTCTAATCGATATGTAGTCTTATCCTAAACACTCATGCTACACACCTGCCCTTACCCAGCATTCTGCATGCTATGTAGTTTCTCTCTACCTCTGCAATGCTCTCATGCTAGATGAGTCTTACTCTGTTATCTCTTACGCTATGTAGTCATATCCTGCACTCCTCATCTTTACGTAGCCCTACCTGCACTCCTCATGCTATGTAATCTTGACCTTGCAGAGCTGCATGCCTGAACCTCCGTTTGGCATTCGTCAATGCCTTACGCATCGGCAACTAGTTTTCTGCCGCCCGTTTCGCCCCATAGACAATGTGAGCCCTGTTGACTGGGCAGTCGTCTACCATCTGGTGGACCCTAAACATTGCGATATAGTGACGAAGCACTGCATAAATACATTTAAAACGTCATTCTGACACGAGAGATTTTGGCACTATGCATTCTGATGTAATTGATGCGAAGGCGCACAGGGACATGTACGCAGCCAAATTAAACATGCAAAAATGAACGCATCAAGCAGCAACGCAATGCTAGACTGAAATGAAATGCGGGCACTGCAGTGAGGCCACCGCACCGCCCCGCCCCGGGCACCCAGAGCCGCTCGGCACACGAATGCAATGTGTGTGTGAAAATGTGAGACTAGAGAAAATACTTGGGCGATTCATTGAACGCGTGTAATCAAATCTCCAGGTAAACAAGCGAGCGAGTGACCTGCTCTTCTAGACTTGCCGCCCTTATGAAGAGAAGACGGTCATGCCTTTTGCTCTCTCTACAACTGCCTCTCCTCGCTCATCTGGCACAGCAAACCACGAAACAAGTAACCTAACAGAACTGAAGAGAATACATCTATATCAATAGATATAACGAATCTATGAATGTGGATTTCTCAAAGCACATCACGCATGGGGATTACAGATTGTAACAAGGAAGGCATGGCAGAGACACAGCCAAGAATAATCCCTCACTTCAACCCCCGTAAGCTGCCAAAGGCTCTGTTTATGAGATGAGCATGCCTGCTGTACCATGACAACACTGGCTAGGTGCGTACGCCATCTCATTACTGATTCATGTTCTACAATTTAATTACTTAAGGCTTTTAATTATTAAAGATTCATCTTATCGTTTGGGCCTGCCTTTTATTACTTTTACTAAGTGTACCTTTCAATTGGAAAGAATGATCTGCAGATGTGCATACTTCCTCTCTAACAAAGCAGAATGTGGTAATGCCTATAAAGAACTCAACAA